CATTTCATTTTCATTAGATTGTCCAGAGCATTTCATTGCCCTGTCATTGAATATTTCATTAGAATGACCAGGATATTTCATTGTGCTTTCATTGTGCATTTCATTAGAATGTCCAGGGTATTTCATTGCGCTTTCATTGAATATTTCATTGAGATGTCCAGGATATTTCATTATGCTTTCATTAGAATGTCCAGGGTATTTCATTGTGATTTCATTGAATGTTTCATTGGAATGTCCAGGGTATTTCATTGTGGTTTCATTAGAATGTCCAGTGTATTTCATTGCACATTTCATTAGAATGTACAGGGCATTTCATTGTTGATACATGATGGGCTCTTGGGAGGGTGGTCACATGACCAACTTCCCAAAATGGTCAAAAAAAGAAAGTTGTAGCCTTGCAATGTAGCTTCATGAATCTGTTTGAATTATGTTCAAAAGTGTTCCCGTTGTGGAGATATGAGATAGATGATCTTCAAAAGCGCCCTGTTTTTTTCTTCTTTTTGCATTTTTCTCCATGAAAACAACACCAAACAACATGATTTCAACACCTTTAAAAAGCTAAGAGAAGCAGCTACAAATACCATATTGTGGGAAAATTCACCCAAAAAGGTAGGTGCATACCCTAAAAGGGAAATTGACACTGAGAGAATACAAAAGATTACTGATAGACTACAAAAGTCAGATATAGATTACAAAGTTTACTAATAGACTACAAAGAAACTACAAAAAGTCAGACATAGACCACAAAAGACTACAAATTGTATATTACAAAAGTTGGACACAGACTACAAAAATTTACTGATACCCTTGACTACAGTTATTGACATATAATTGTCTAGGCCATCCACTAGAAAAGTTTGTAGTGTCTGCTTTTTCATAAGTTTGTATAGTCTACTTTTAAGGGTATGTAGTCAGTACTTTACCATCCCCCACATAATCCACATGGACTCCACTGGATTCCACTGGATTCCACTGGACTTCACTACATACTGGCAATATCCACAAAACTGGACTCCACTGGACTGCAAGCACAAATCTGGACTGGACTGGACT